TTTTTTTTTTTTTTTTTTTTTTTTTTTTTTTTTTATAACTCTTCTTTTTCTTTTTTTTTTCTAGTATTATTTAGTCTGTTGTTTGTCTGTTTATTTATTTATTATTTATTTATTTATCTTTTTCTGTATTTTTTTCCTGTATTAATAACTTGTCACCATGCTTTCCGGCTGTTATAATAATTAGTTTATTACTTAGTATACTACTTAATTAGTTATTTTTTTTTTATCTCCAGCTTCCGGCTTAGCTTTTTTTATAGTTTATATTTTGGCTTTTATCCAGGCTTCCATTATCATCTTACTTAATAATATCTATGAGATTTTGATATACTCTGGTTTTTCTGTTAATCTGACTGGAAATAATTTATATTTTATATTATTTATGGACTTATATAAGCTCCGTGATTTTATTCAGCTGGAGTATAATATAGTTAAAGCTTATATTATATCTATTTTTATTAATTAAATATATACTGATTATATTTAAGATCTGCTTGATTAGATTAAACTAGGATTAATAGATGATACTGAGTTTCCTGTCTGTCAGGATTTATTTAAGTCCAGTAATTCTACTAATAACCCTTAGATTATTTCTGATACTGGGAATACTGCTATGGATTTTTATATAATTTTATAAATAATAAGTATTCTGGTTCTTATATATATTAGATTATATTGATTTTTAATTAAATAAATATGTATATTACTTAATATAGCTCTTCAGAGTAATAATAACTAGTTATATAATTTTTTTCTATTTTTTATTATTTACTGTGGTTCTCTTGCTGCGGGAGAAAGAAATAATACTAAAATAATTTATTATATTTTTTTATTTTATATTTAATTTAATAAAGATCTTCTTTAATTCTAATAAAAGTATACTAATTCTGACTATAGTTTTTTCTAGAAATTCTTCTAGATATGAGTAGCTGTAATCTTCTAGAAAATTTTAACTGGCTTCCAGATACTTTGTATATAATCTATTTATTTAATTTAATAATAAAGTCTCTATCCTTATTTTCTTGATTATTAAGTTTTTTTTAAAATAACTTCTACCAAGTACTTCTTTTTTCTATTAATATAAATAACTAAAGATTACTAATTATTTCTTTACTAGAATAGAAATTAATCTATAGCTGCTGGTTACAGCAGGTTTATATAAAAGATATTATAGATTTTAGTAAATATATTAAAATAAATAAAATAAGTTTTTAATATCTTAATAATCTTATATTTAGTATTTTTCTAATCCAGTTTCTTGCTCAGTCAGTCAGTGTTAATATTCTTTAGATTTAGCTAGATTATGTTTCTGATCTGGTATATTAAAATAAATATTTATAATTTATTTATTTATCTCTCTATTTTTTATTAAATATATATTAATAATATTCTAGCCTAGTTACTTATTTTCTTAATAGTATAGGTAATATGCTTCCCAACTTATATAAAATTCTAGAAAGTTTTATTATATAAAATAAATTAATTTTTAATAAGATTAAAAGATAATAGCTTGTACTTATAGCTCAGAAAGAACAGGGACACACTAGTTAATATTAAAGTACAGATATTAATAGCCAGTTCAGTAAATAGAAGAAACTGACTCTAATTATTTTAATTCTATTAAATATAAGTCCGCAGGTAGATTTCTATAATATTATTAATTTATTTAATAATATTATCTGTTTAAAGATAATATACTGTAAATAATTACTATTTAATATTTATTAATTTATATAGTCTTTTCTATATTTTACTCATAAACTGTGTCCTGCAGTCAGAGATAATAATCTTTAATATACTATATTATTATATATAACTGTCCAGGACTGTTTATATTAGATTTATAGCTGTTATTTCCTTTATAGCTACTAATATTATATCTTTTATAAGCTGATTAGTAATAACCAGAATATTAATATAATCTTTATTCTCTGGAAATTTAATAATAAAGTTCATACTGATATCCTATTATAGATATTTAGAGATTAGAAGTAGTTTTAATAGTTTATATTTTTTTTTATATTAAGTTTTTATTTTTCTGCAGGTATTATAATTCTGTATAAATCTCTGTATATCTTATATTATATTAGGCCAGAAATACTTCCAGTTTATTACTAAATATATCTATTTACATTCTGGATGCCTAGTCAGTGAGGAGTTATGGATTTCCTATATTAGATTAATTTATAAAAATTTATTATTAGAGATTTATCTTTATTTTTTAAAGATCAAGACTTCTTGGAAATTTATAATATATTCTGAGATAAAAATCTTTAATCTTAGATTAAGTAAGAATTTCTATATTTTCTTCTTAATTATTTATTTAGTTTTTTAATACTGATAATCTTGCTCTTCGGCTTCCTTCCATTATAATATAATATTGACAGGTATAAATACCAGTCTGAAAAATCTAATTTAAATAGTTCTATAATATTTATTAGATTAGAGAAGCTGGAAGATTCATGTTATAATTTATTTATTATAATAATTAAATATATTTTAGTCTTTTTAGAAGAAAATATCAGCTTAATTATTCTTTATATTTTTCTGATAGGTGAAGAAGAAGTTGAACTTATTAAAAAAAAGATTTTATTAAATATATTTTTTAAATAATTTTCTTAATATATAGAAGTACTCCAAGTTCTTGTAATCTATAATTATTTTAAACTCAGGGATAGAGTGTAGTTTAGTATTTTAAGTTTTTATATATTTAATAATAGCTAATAATTTCTTATTATAAATTTTATAATTATATTCTGCAGATACCAGCTGCTTTGAAAAGTAGATACAGGAGTATAATTTTTTTTTTATTATATTAAAATAGATATCTCTTTAAATTATAGTCTGAGGAGTCTGTTTCCAGTATTATCTGTCTATTAAAATTAAAAAAAACTAGTATTAGTTTTATATAAAATATTTTCTTCAGGCATGAAAAACTCTCTTAATATTTTTAAATTTACTAGAATAGTATATCTTTCTTAGTAAGGTCATGGAGAGGCTTAAATAATCTTAAAAAATTTAATATAAACTAGTAGTAGAAATTAATAAATCTGATAAATCTATATATTTTCTTCACTGTTGTGGGCGGTTCTTATTTTTAGATTATATAGATTTTTTTAGAATTTATACTTACTTCTTGTTCTGTTTTAATAATAAATCCAAGATATTTAGTCTCTTTTTATTTAAATTTATATTTATTAATATTAAGATATAGGCTTGCTTCCTGTAATTTAATTAGGACCTTTCAGACATGCTCCCGGTATTACTAGAAGATCCCGGTTGAGAAGATAAATATATTATTAAAATAAATAGAATAGAATTTATTTAAATATTCTTTTAAGATCTAGTTAATATACTTCTAGAAGATATTAAAAATATTCATAAGTCTGAATAAGATAACCAGTTACTTATAGAATCTATATTAAATATAGAAAGCAGTTATCTATTTTTATTTCTTAGTAATATATATTTTATAAAAGGCTGTAGATATATTAAATTTAGTGAATTATTTAACTTTTCTGATTTAGTTCAGTATTTTATAAATCAGAAATAGCAGGTACTAATCTTTCTTAATAATAATATTTAATTTATAATAATTAATATAAAAACAGAGATCTTCTTCTAGTTTCCAGATAAAGAGGACTGGGGCTGCAGCTAATAAATTATTTATCTAAATAAATTTTTTATTTAATAATTTAATAAACTCTTTTTATAGGATTATAAATTCTTTTCTGGATATATTATATAGTAATTTCTATAGAGACTGGAAAGTCTTTCTATTCTTTTCTTTTAACTTAATTAAGTGGTTAATGCCTGGTCTGCAGTACAGAGACAGGATTCCTGTATTTTTTAGTTTAAATAATTCTAAGAATTATTAATACTGTTCTAGCAGTCTATTTTTCAGATTTAATTTTAGTTTGGTGTATAAGGCTTTTTCTATATTTTTTAAAAATATAATAAATATTTTTATTTCTGACTGTAGTATTTTTTTCTTTTTTCTAACTCATGTTTGAAAGGCTGTGGCTGATACTTAGACCAGGACATACTTAGACTGTAATATTTATATTATCTTGATCTGAATCTGGATTAACTGGAGATAAACTTAGTTCTGGTTTAGTTTAATTCTTTTATTATAATATTCTAGCCAGGGAAGACCTAGAATAATATTATACTTTAGATTATAATTAAATATATGCAGATATAATCTGGATTTAGTATAAACTCTAATATTTAAGTATATTTAAATAATATAATTAATAATTTTCCTCTCTTCAATTCCAGATATTAGAATTAGAATAATTAAAGTTAAGTCTAGCTTGTTCTTCCTTATATATTTTAGATTAATAATACTATATATGAGGTACCCAGTATTAATTATAGTATGGATATTAGCTACCTGGTTAATAATAGTCTTGAAAAGTAGAGGTTTAGAGTTTATATATTTTTTTTTAAAAGTTTTTTATTAAAAATAAGATTTTCTACTTAAATATATCTTTATCTATAACTTTATATAAAGACTATTCTTTTCTCTAGTCTTTATCTTGTTTGTCTAGTAGGGAAATCTTCACAACGGGACAACGGTCAAACAATATCTGATAAAGTTATAAGTAATATCATTTGATAGAGCTCTTCACAAGAAATACAGTAATATAACTTTTATTTCTTTAATTAATTATTCTGTGGAGCTATAAAGATTTAAAGATAGAAGTATTTTTTTCTGAATATGATTAATATATATAATAGAAATTCAATCAGGTTAGTGTATATAACAGAAATTTAAATTAGATTAGTACCCTTTTCTACAGACTCTAAGCCTAAATGGGTCTATTAAGTATTATAAAAATAAATATTATAATAATAAATATTACCCCAATAAGCGTTATATAAAGTAATATATTAATATTCTTATAATAAATCCTAAAGTAAGAAGTTATTTATGGGTGGTCTGAATATCTGATATATAATAATACCTACTCCAGTAGTTATCTTAATATTTAGTATTATTTACTTTATCTAGATTATATATTTTTTAAGAAATATTTCTTTCTATAAGAATATTAATACCTGATAGTCTGTATATATACTTACAGTTACTTATAAAAAAGCAGAGATTATGTACTGGGCAGTAAATTATAAAAATAATAATAATATAAAAATAAAATAAAATAATTAAAAAAATAATATTATATTAATATATTTAGACCTGCGCGATCCCGCCAAGCCAGCAGATGGTAAAGAAAGACAGTATTATAGTTAATAATTTTATTACAGTTCTTATATATAGATAGTGTTTTTTCTATAAGAGATATAATAGAAATTAATAAATAAGCAGATATTATATTTATCTATAATATTATTTTTCTTAATATATCTTGTCCTCTCACCCCTCTGTGCGGCTGGTGAGGTTGGAGGGGAAGAGATTATAAAAAAAAGAAAAAAAAAGAAAAATAAATCTTATTATTATATTTAAATCTCTTTTTTAGGGTTTTTATTAGGGTTTAGGGTTTTATTAGGGTTTTAGGGTTTTAGGGTTTTAGGGTTT